CCAATCATTAGCATTGAAATTGAAATCATACTGCCTACGATTTCTTGCACAATAAAATAATGATTATCATCATAATTTTCTGTCCACAAACATGAGACTTGAAGAAAAACATGTGTTCACAGCATCAATATTAGCCAAGTTGTTGTTCCTCATAAATTAAGCAAACCAGTAGCTGCCTTAACACTGTCAAAAGTTTTCTTGCCACCATAAACTGCACCTTTTACCTTACTCAACATTTATTGCCCATCTGAATGGTGGGCGGGCGAGAGAGAGAGAGAGAGTTTTTTTCTTTTTCATTTTATAGGGAAAAAGCCCTAGTCAATATAAATAAAGCTCTCTTCTTTGAGTCCTTTCATCTATAATCAAGGGGTTTCTTCATTATTCTTAAAACCCCACAAGAAAGGGAAAAAAACAGCAAAATGAAACATTTATTCTCAACGTTTCCTCTTGTGTTCTTCTTCTTATTCTTTTTGCAGTGCACTCCAGCTCTTTCTCAGAGTCCTGCACCGGCTCCTTCACCTCCGGCGCCAGTTCCTGTAACTCCACTGCCGGCTCCTGTACCTCCGCCGCCGGCTCCTGTACCTCCAGCACTGGTTCCTGTACTTCCCGGTCCCACCAACATCATTGCTATTCTTGGAAAAGCCAAGCAATACACGTCATTTATTCGACTCCTAAAAACCACCCAATTGGCTGATCAACTCAATTCACAGCTTGACAACTCAAACCAAGGTTTCACAATATTTGCTCCAACTGATGTTGCATTCAGTAACCTCAAACAAGGCATGTTAAACTCTCTTACAGATCAACAGAAAATCCAGCTTATTCAATTCCACGTCCTACCTTCATTTTTCTCCGTCTCCCAATTCCAAACCGCAAGCAATCCACTAAGAACACAAGTTGGTAATGACGAACAATTTCCGCTCAATGTCACTACAACTGGGAATCAGGTGAACATAACAACCGATACGGTTAATGCAACAGTGGCGAGTACAGTATATACCGACAAGCAGCTA